GTTGTACAAGTACACAAAATGAAGAATGCATTTCGGCAAGATAGAAGGAAAAACTACAAGTCTTGTTGTTTTTTACCAAATTTTTTTTTCTTTTGTTTCTTACACGTACCAAAAAAATTTTGTTGTTTTCTTGTAATTGTTATTTTTCCATCTTATTTTTTTTAGTTTTTGTTTATGTCATTAAAACTAACAAATGAGTAAACATTTTTTAAGAATGAAATGGAAGAAGGTAGCGAACAAAATAGCACAAAATATTGCATTCTTTGCAATGTACAGAAAATATAAAAAATTAAGAAAAAAATTATAAACATGAATAAATTCAAAATAAAATAAATTAAATTTTTTATAAATGTTAAAGATAATTATAAAGTTAATGTTTTGTCATTGCTAAACGACCTAAATTTGAAAATAATTGCTGTGATATAACTAGGAAATAACTCAAGGTTTGATAAACTACATTTATGTACTTGAAATTTTATTTATCATTATTAAATTTTTTCTGCGTTACAATATCGTATTCAAGCTCCATTTTTAGGGTCAAGAAAAAATTAAAATCTATTCATAAAAAATTCGGCTTACAGCTTCAATAATTGTAAGTGAGTCTAATGTTATAATAAAATTTTGCATATGTATTTAAAGACTGTATGCGTTTCTAATTTACCCTTGTTTGAATTTCAAAATAAATGTTAATAATTTTGGAGATGTCCGAAGAATCTTAATGACAAAAGTTTTAAAATTAAGTTTTTTACGTGAAAATGTTGCTATCGATGCTCTCCATATTATTATGTATTTATTAATATTTCAATTCTTGCTCCTAAATGACTCAATTTTGGACTTCAAAATAATATTTTACATAAAAATATTCTGGAAAGTTTACGTTTCATAATCACAGTAGGTTTTTGTGACTGCTTAACTAACGGAAGAAAACAATTTCTTCAATTCACCGGACGGATATTAAATTTTAAAATGATTAAGAGTAAAATAAGCAAAAATTAAAATTCAAAGAATTATTTTACGCAAATGTTGGTACTCAAAATTAGAATTTTACCAAATTATCTGAATTGCCCATTTCAATTTCATATTTTAATTGAAACTAAAAATCTGTTTTATAAATATTGACTAAAAACTTAACTGCAATAACTATGATATTTTTAATTTCCGCAGAAAGAGAGGAATCTAATTGATTCTTACATTCTGTAAGTAGATTTCACGAGTAAATTTTGGATTTTTCGACACATTATTATGCATAAACATAATGGTAAACTAAGATCTAGTTAGTTGCGACCCTTAAAAATTTATTTATTCAACATTCAAGACATTTTTTATTAAAAATATTTTATTTATAACTCTGAATTTTTTATGGCACTTATTTCATGTTATAACCAAACATCAATAGTACATTTATATGATTTTTCACAACATTTTCGTAACACAGATTGACAGATATGCTTGTCGGGTTCTACTGACATGACAAATAACCACTACAAATTTTTTTGCTTTAAATTCTTAATTAATATAAGTAAAAATAAATTACCACAAGATTTCTCTTGTTAAAATCCACTTAATATTTACTATATGTACAAATGTAGACACTAAATTTGAAAAACTTTTAAATTCTATAAGAGAATGATAAAGAAAATTTTATAATATTTTTTCTCCTATACCCACACAAAGATATTTCTATAATCAACAATAACAATAATTACTACATTCAAAATAGCATATCGTATAGCGTTGCTCAAATATATGCTTGCCACTGTACATACACACATACATTTTATATGCATTCATTTTGCATTGTCTTACTTATGAGCATATGCATATATTAACAAATTTATAATTTGTATCTTAAAATGAGTAAATGAAAACCACGAAATTAAAACAAATAAAAAACTACGATAACAATAATAAAAACTATTTTTACATGAGCACATTAGAGTATAAGTGTACGGGTACATGTATGTATATACGTCTATGTAAAAATATGAGTATAAACATTGTATATTTTGAAAAGCTCTGAGTGTAATTAAGTTGTGTTACACCTGTTCGGTGTTTTTAAAAATAAAACAGTTTTTGTTCACAATTTTTTACTTTTTTTTACACAAAATATGAAAACAAAAGAAATTTTTACATACGTCGTCGTATCGTAAGTACTCAAAAACATTAAAACAAAAAAATATAAAATTTCAAAAAAAAAATTCAAAGCTTTTCAGAATTAATTTTTTAAAGTATCTTAGAGTTGAATGATTTTTTTTTTTTGGTAAAAAACGTAAAACAAAAACCGTAAACAAAAAATAAAAAATTTTATTTTTCTTCAACTTTTTGCGGACACTTTTTTAAAAATTAAATTATTATAATTCATACAATTTTTGGTTTAGTAAACTTTTATTTCTTATTTTTTTTTTCTGAAATATTTTGAAATTTTATCGCATAATTTTGGAAAATATAAGACTCCTAAACCATAATAATATTTTTACAAAATAAATGAGGTATTAAAGTTATAATGGAAAACATAATAAAAGTATTTGAGTATTTAAAAAACATAAAATGGTTTTATACAGTTGTATATACAAGTTTTTAAGCAAAAATTTGTAACCGCCATGCAAAATATGAGAAAAAAAAGAATTAAGTACACACAAAATGAGAGCATTGTAGAATGTACATTAGTGGGTATATGAATTTCTAACGAATAAGGTATCAGAGATATTTATAGCAGCATAATATTAAACTCTAGACATATAACATACCTTCAAATTTATAAGACTCCCAATTTTTCCTGTCAATATACCTAAAGATATTTAACCATTTGTGCAATGGTTATTGTACCGGACCTTTAAACGAAGAGGTTCGGTTTAAAATCCTGATCAGGTCACTATAAAAATTATGCTTAATAAAAACAAAAAAACTCCCAAAGGTATATTTGATTCAAATGAGTTGTTATACACATTTATTCCGGTAGATGGCTAAACAATTTTGGAAGAAAATATTTCAATTTTGAAATTATTGAAAGAAAATTTCCACAAAATTCATAGATTTAAATCACTCGTTTCACACTTTAGAGCAACAAAATTTTGTTTAAATATTTTCGGCGAAAAGCACCATTAAAAACCGAAAACTAGACGTACTAGTAATAAGATCTTATATACCAACTTTTTAAAAACCAATATCTGTTAAATGATTTGAATCCTTAAGGCGAAACAAAGGCGAAATGTAAGACTAAGATTATTGACTGTAAGCACTACTAGTAGGCATAATTATTTCAATAGACATAACAATTGCAGTTAAGGTTATTTTAATCCCTTTAGATCTTTTATCCGCATAAGTGGTGAATTTCTACAGGCTGTCACGCCCCCAAGTAAAAGTCAATTTTCGAAAAACGTGTATCAAACCTAAGAACACATCATACCAAGAATTTTTAAGTTTGTGTTTCGTTTAGAAAAACAGTAAAAAATTAAATCGGACAAATTCCTACTGTGAAAGAAATTCCTACTGTGTTCTTTCAAAGAATCCGCGCATTTTAGAAACATTACAAATTTTGAAAAAGGAAACACAGTCAAATTATCATTTATTGTTCCCATCACATTCAAATAAAAATTTAAAGTAAAAAATAATTTTTTTTTTCTTATCAAAACAAAAACTTTTTAATTAAAATGTACGCGATCAATTTTAATTGTTTTCTTTTGAAAAAATTAATTATCAAAGAGAAGGATTTTTTAAAAACTACAATTTTTTACTCTTCCCTTATTGGTGTGCAGTAGCTGAAAATTTTTATAACAAAAACTATGTAAAAATCTTCCTTAACTTCATATTAGTCCTGTTCCCTTCTCCCTTTATAACAATAGTCTTAATTTTTTATAAAAAAAATCTTCTATGAAAATTTATTAAAAAAATACAAAAATTCCTTCAACCAATAAAAACTTATCTTTATTTGCCTCCATTTTTTCTCTTATTTTATTATTTATTTAAAAGTTAGTGAACAATTATACTTTTGATACCATTTTAGCACTCAATTGCATAAATTTTAATATAAATAATGCAACAAAGTTGGCTCAAAATATTAAAAATTCTTTATTTAAACTGGTACATGCTTCATTTATACTTACATGTATATAAGTATGTAGTTCTTTTAATTATGTAGATTTGGCATGAATACAATGAAATCGAGAAGAGAAAAAGGATTACATTATAATAATAGAAAATAAGAAAAATATGAACAAAGCAGGACAATTGTATTGTGTAGATCGCGTTAAATCAACTTAATCCTAAGTTATTTTGATAATACAAAAAAAAATTTAATGAAATAAAGTATAAAAATATTTCACTCCAAGAAAACAATAGAAGTAAATCAAAGTTAAATACAACTACATAAATAAATTTAAGATGAAATAGAATAAAATTAAAAGTTGGCTACTTTTTTCCCTCCTTTTTTAATGAAAAACCACTGAAGTGGATTAGAAATGCAATATGAAAGCATTTTTTTTAATAAACTAATTAAATTGCTTTTATCTTATTTTTTGAGAAAATAAATTACAATTAAAAAAAATTGTGAAGGAAAATAATATAATTTTCCAATAAAATTTGAAAGCGAACAGTTTTCAAATAAAAGTGTAGGGTAAAATTGGACTGTAGATGTAGGCGATATCGTTGTTTTAGTTACTTAATATTTTCTCTTGTTTGTACCCCATTAAAGTGAGTTCACTCACTGTTGCCAATTTTCCCAATATAGTGCAATTATTTTATAATGTTAAAATCTTGCAAAAGAGGCTCCCTTGTTTTCTATTTGATCATACTAGGTGTTTGTCAAAATACAATGCATATTTTGCCTTAAATTTTTGTGCAATCTTTTGTTCATTCTGTCAAGTTTTAATACATTGTCTTTAAAATTTAGTTCACCAAAAATTTTTAAAATTTTCATATTGACACAATTTTAAATTCTTAATAAATTTACAAATTATTTTATAAAATTATTTAATTTTCTATTGTTTTTACTTTATTTTCAGATTATAGCAAGACGTCGAGCACGTTCACAATCTGGTGACAATTTAATTATGACAAATCATATGACAGATAATGATTCAATGTCAAGTTTTGCTTCAACACCAGGAAATAGTGGCGGTAGTATGTCACAAAATGCATCACCTCAACATCGCCATCATTTTGGTAATCATGTACATTTAACATCAAAAAATCGATCTAGTTCATTAGAATGGCCTGATCCACCAGAGGCTCCAATATGTAGTACAGAAGATGAAGCAGCATCAATATATTCTGATTCAGATGATATTATACCAACATATCCAGTTAATTTAACAGGCAAAGGAACTTATGTTATTCGTAAAGGTCGTAAAGAACGTAGTCGTTTATCTGACATACATACATCAATGTCATCATCAATTAATTCAAGACTTAGTAATGAGGGAAGTTTATTGTCTGGCATGACAGCAAGTCAAAGTTTATTAATACCAAATTCAAGACATAGTATCGATTTAGGATCTTCAACACATTCACCAATTTCAATTGGTACAGGAAATAATATTTTACCAAATAGAGGAGCTGTACTATCACCAAGGTTAAACATATTTAAAAAAATTTTGTTTTGTTGAAAAAAAAATTATTAAATTTCAAATATATAATTTTAGATCAAGATTATCATTGGATTTGACTTCACCAAATACAGCAAATCCAGATCATCCAGTTTCACTTAATCAAATTCTTCATTCACCAGTTACAAATGGCAGTAATGCAGGAACCCCGAACTCAAGATTTAATGATTACAAAAGTTATACAAACAGTTACGATCAAATTCAACATCATATTGAAGCAAATGGCAATGGTGGACCTACTGGTGGTAATGTTTTACCAATTAATGGAAATACTGTAGCGACCGTTACCAACACCAGCTTAAATAATAACAACAATAACAATAATATCAGTAATGCTACACCTAACGTAAACGGTTCTTTGACACGTAATATTGAAAATATACACTTTTTAATACATGAAGTAACAAATTTGAATTCTAGATGATATATCAAGCACTCCAAGACGGGAACTTGCTCCACCTATCGAAGAAGATGAAGAACAGGATAGTGAATCACAAGCTTCAAGAGGGGCTCCTTTACGGCAAATTGAAAATAATATAAGTGCTTTATTGCGTGGTGATATAGCTGTTGCACGTATCGGTGATCTTGCACATCCAAGACGTCCATTAGGATTTCGTCCAGGAGTTCATAAATCAGAAAGTGCCAAAGAAATGTTGTTATCGCAATTAAATAATTTTGGTCCTCTACCGCCATCACCTCCAAGCTCTAGTCCAGAACCTGTAAATGTAACTGAAAAAAAAGATTCATTTCATAATTACATAATGTCAAAATTCTCAATTTATAATTCTTTTTAGGAAATTGATTCATTTCCACCACTACCTCCATCACCTCAAGAAAATAATGCTGATGATGAGGAAGAATTAGATGAAACCAATGTTATGCGTGGTATTCATGGAATTCGAATATCATCTAGAACTCGACTTAAAACAAATCCAAATGTAGAATCTCATGCCCCAGCTATTCCACCGCATAGAAGTGGAAATATTGGTGTTCCACCATCAATTAATACATTAAAGACACGTTCAATGGATGCTGGTTATACAAAAAAATATGCAACAAATTCGTCACATATAAGTGTACCAGGTACACTACCCTGTGAAATTCCTACAACGAATTCTTCAAGACGTAGATTACAATCTGGTGCTTTTCCAAAACGTTCAGCCCAAAGTCCAAGAGAAGAAAGACGATTACAAACGTCTTGCAGTTTACCAGAAACACCAATTTTTGCTAGAGGGTTGGTCACATTCATTTTTTTTTATGCGATTGTACAACATTATAATATTTATTGATATTTTTTCATTAAAGATGTGATATACCACGTACACCACATAGACGTGCCCCAGAAGTTCCACCACATGGAACTGTAGGCGGAACAAATAATTGTGGTTCAAGAACAGCACCTCGATCGAATACGAATACGACAAGTAGTTTAGGTTCATCTATTGTTGGAATTGGTAATTCTATATACTCGTAAAATAACATAAAGAATTTGCATTTTTTGTAAGACTATGAAAAATATTAATGTATCTTATATTAACTTTTAGGAAATTCAACTTTAGGAAATAATAATGGAAGACATCAACCACAACCACCGCAACCTCAACGTACTATTGTACAAGCATTAACAAGCGCTGAAATGTTACGTTTAGCTGGTGGACCAGCACGTGGTTGGTATCCAAAACAAAGAGCAATGCGTCCAGCTTCTACTGAACATTTAGATCGTTTACATAGAACCCAAGGATCGATGCGTGCTTGGGATACCGCTATTGGTGTTGGTCATCATACTGGTGGTGGTATGTCTGGTAGAGGTGGTGTTGTAGGTGGAAACGAATGTGGCAGAAAGCCGTTAACATTACCACCAAATTTAACACCGAAATTTTTCAACAAATCACCACGTGAAGCTCTTAGACGTGTTACTAGTTTACTTATTAAAAAAGGTACGCGGCTTCAAAATATTCAAAACAAAAACAAATTGTTATTTTGTTTTGTTATTTTATTTAAAAAATTAAAATATTTTTTATCTTTTTTGTCTTGTTCCTAATAATAATTTTTTTAAGAGACAAACTATCAATTTAATTAATAATTAATTATATTACAAGTAATTACAAATAATTAAAAAACAAAAATACTCAATTAATGTAGTTAAATAACGGTAAAACACAAATTAATAACGAATTTTATTTATTTTTCATAGAAAAGAAAAACTTTTTTAATTTTTCTTCTAATAAGAAATCCTTTTTCTCTTAATACAAACATACATACATTTTTATAACAATTTTTCAAACTCAAATTCTAGTTATAACAAAACAATTCAAATTTCAATATATAACAAAATAATTTCACTGTTATATGACAGTATAACAAATTAATTTATTCTTCGTTAATTTTATGTTTCGTTAAAAAATATTTTTGTAATGGTTTAAAGATTTGCTAAAAAACAAAAGACAAATGAATTTTAATAATGATTTTTCGTTTCATTTGTAGAAAAGAAGTGGAGAAAAAAATTAATTCGTCTAAATAATTGTTGAGTGATTTTTTAAAAATTATATATTTTAGACCAGTTTCGTGGTTTTGGAAAATTTCGGATTTAAATATTGTTGTCACGTAAATGTAAAATACAAAAATTAAAACTTTATATTTAAATTTTACATAATTAATTCTCACCTTTCCACCAAATCAAAATCCGCACATAATTTTTCATTATTAATACAGAAAAATATGGAATTATTTCGAAAACGCACTAGCGCAAATTTATTTATGATTTTTTATTTAACCCTCCAAAATCATTAAAAAAAATAATGTTTAAAAGTTTGTAGTGGCTTTTAACTAAAATAAACCCATTCATTATTTTAATACCAAAGAAATTAATCATTTTCATTACCCTGGTTTAATTCCCTAAAATGTAAATATTTTTCAAAAATTTATTTTTATTTTAATTTTAATTAAATTGGTGTTTTAATTACAACTTTTTCATTAATGCTTCTAAATTATCATTTACTATGGAAAGAAAATTTTTATAAGGCAATATACATACTTAACAATAATTTTTTACAAAAAATTATTAAAAGTTTTAATTTTTTTTTTTGCATTAATCAAAGCCATAATTATACAACTTACATAGCAATTAATTTCATATTTTTATAAATTAAAAAAAATTAACATTTAAATGCAAAACTATATTAATTGAAATTCATGAGTGAATGATTGTTTTGTGGTATATGTTTTAATTCAATCAATGAACTACATTTATTAAATATTAAAATTTTATATAAGATTAACTGGATTATAATTGATAGTTTTTAGGTTTATGTCAATGTCAGCATTATTAATTTTGCATCAAATAATCACCGATATTCTCTTAGACGAATCACTTGAGATACTGGTATATAATGAAAAAGTTTTGTAATTTTAAAAATAAAACTAATCTCGAAATTTAAAATTTTAAACTGATAAGTTCAAAACTTTTGAATAATATGCTTCACCTCGAATGATTCTAAGGAAATATGAGTGAAATTACAAAGTTATCTTTATACTTTGTGAAATCTATAATTACTTAATTAAAATAAATATTAAGTATTAGATTTAGTATGAAATTTTAATACTAAATTTTTATGCTCAATATTTTAATTATTTTAAATTAAGTAGAATCAGTTTTTAGAAGTAGAAATATTTTTTTCCGATACAATTATTTCAATTTTTAAAAAATTCTTCGTTTCCATTTTTGTTTCATTTCAACAATTTCAACTTATTTGAAAAAGAAATTATTATGTGGTTTGTGTCTTTACTATCAATAATATAACAAATTATGAAAAATTGCTTTGTATAACAATCAACTTAAAATCTTCTTGGTATAACAATTAAATAAAATTTTTGAAGAAATTTAACTTAGAAAAAATCTGAACTTTGCATCTGCTGAGAGTGTATGTTAAAAATGTAACAAACATTTTTTTTTGAACATTTATGTCAACTTGTATGTAAAATTGTAATTAAACTGATTTTAAAGACACAATCATAAATTATGATATGGTGTAAAATGCATCCTTGACTTCATTTGTGCAGATATACCGCAACGTTTCAGGGCTTAACGTTTTATATTTACAAAAATCTGCAAAGTTTAAAGTTCAATATAGAGTATGTCGAATACAAAAATATTTAGACATACTTTATTTTAACGTTGTCATATCTGATGTAAAATAAGAAATCAGGGCAGATTGTGAAACAATGTTAATTCTTAATATGACATGTTGTTGTTGTTTTCGATTCATATTACAATGCGTGTAGTTAAATGAAGTAGTGATGCACAGATATGACTGCATAATTGAAAGCAAGGGGCTTTATGAATGAATTACAATGAGAATAATTTCTCAAAAATAATTTATAAATTTCACTTCTAAGAACATGCACGCTTAAATGCAGGCTTGTACTGAAATTTATAAACTTAAAAATTTGTTCCTTTTCCTATCCCTTTTCTTGCAACACTAACCTTTTAAACGTGTGTGTTTTAATATTGTATCGGGTTATCAATTACATATTCGTAAAAAAGAGAGCATTTGTTTTAATCTAATGAATCATTCAAATTTTAATTATTAACAATTTATAACCTAATTATTCAAAAAATTTAAGTATTCATACAGAAAACTCTGCAGTCTTTAGGAATTAATAACTCTGTATTTAAGTTATATTAATAAAATTTCTTAACTGCTAATTTTGTTGTTAAAAATAGCAAGCAATACGAGTAGGTACTGTTATTTGAATGACAGAGTAAGTCATGTTGAAATTTTAGTTAGACGCCCAAGAATTTAAGTTTAGGTGGTAGATTGTTCCACAAACAAATGAGAATTGTTTTTTTCTTGTATTGTAAACAGTATTGTTTCACGCTATTTTTAGAAGTTATTGCTCAAGTAAAATTTTGAAAATAAGATATTTTTCTCAGCAATTTTAGAAATTTATATTATAATATTATTAATCATATTATATTTTAATATAATAGAAAGAAAATTTTTCTAATTAGAGCCACCTTTATATTTTAATGAATGGAAAATCTCTTTGAAAAATTAAAATCAAAAAAACCTTGAAATTTTAGAATCCAATGAACGCGCGCTATAACCATGACCTTATTTAATGGGTTAAAATTGTTTTTTTGTTCTAAAAATATCATATTTTTTTAATATACAAAATAATAAATATATAAAAATATTAAAATAATAATATAACAAAAATAAAATTTATCAAAAACAAAACAACGAAAGTTATAGAAAAAAAAACCAATAAAATCCAAATTTTCGTTTTAAATTTAAACAAAGAAAATTCAAAATATTTGAGGCGCACAAATTTTTAGTATAAAAATGAAAAAAAATTTGTCAATCCTACTGTCTTGCATCTAATTCGATATTTATAAATTTGATATTTCGATTGTAATTTTACGTATTTCTTGTTAGACTATTTAATATTAATGTTTATTTACTTCCAAGAAGTATTCTCACATACTAATTCTAACATCCTAATTAATACTAAAAAAAAATATTCTAATTAAATGTAAAATAAAAAATTTTATATAGCGTTTATCTATTATATAATTTTCTATACTTATAGGAGTGAACCTGTGGGTAAGAATCACAATTTCTGGATAAGTTTAATTCTAAATTTTAAAATTTAGAAGTTTTAGTTAAGTTCATGAGTTGAGCTACGTTCCTATACGTGTATTTATGCCTTATTAGTGCAATTTTGAAGTCGAGTGCAATAATTTCAATGTCTAGTAACAAAATAGTTTTACTTTTTAATTAATTATTTTACTTGAACAAAAAAAAAAATTTTAAATTTTAAAAAAATTTATAAAATTTTTTTCGTTTGTTCAATTTATTCCCAATTTTATTTTTATTTAAAAAAAATTAAATGAATATCAAATAAAGTTAATTTTGTTTTTCTTTGGAAAATTTCCAAAAAATCAAAAACAAATTCATCCAAAAATGCGAAAGGAAAATTGAACAAAAAAAAAACAGCCTAAAAATTTTAACAAAAACAAAACGTAGTCGTTCTAAAAACAAATTTTTATAGATTTTTCTACAATCTTTATTCCATAAAATATTTAAGAGAATGTAAATATGTACATATACTTATATATGTATGTACAAATGTATATATTATGCTTAGAAATGTATGAATTGCATTTTATTGACCTAAAAATAAAAAAAAATTAAATTTCATCGGCCTAGACACCGAAAGCGTCAAATAAATTTTCCAGTCACAAAAAAACTAATTGTAAAAATTAAAAACTAAATATAAAGGAGAGATTTTTTGGATATTTTTGAACATTTCTTTTCTAGAATGCTCGTATATCTAAAATTTTGCAATAGAAACGACATCAGAACTAGTTAGAGAAGTATTACTAATATGTTTAATAAATTCATATAGGCAGCTCCCATTTATTTAAATAAAATTAAAAAGTTTACTCTTAACACTTTTACTAACATTCTTTTTTAAAACATTCTTTTTCTAGAAGTACCTTAATTTTTGAAAATATAGTATTGATCACATTATATCATAAAAAAAAAATTTTATCATAGGAGAATTGTCTGTTATAGAAAGTTCTAATGAAGAGTTTTACAATACAATTAACAATAATATTATAATAAGTCAGTAAATTTAATTAAAAGTTACACATTCTCAAAATATACAGGTATAATAAAAGAATCAAGAAATATGTACATACAATGTTTTTATTCCATTATTAATAGTACCTTAAAGTTTTTTAATAATTTAATTTTAATTCTAATACTAAAGATACTCAATAAATTCGACTCGCAAATCGCTTATTGCTCTTAATCTTTTAATTAAACAATAGATGAGTCACTTAAATTTTGAGTAATATTTTTGATAATACGCAATTCATCTGTGTGAAAAATCTTATGCCAACATCTTATTTACCTCAAAAAATGTA